ACTGTACTGACAGTGTAAAAGTGGAAGTCTAAGCACTTCAATACCCTGCTGTTCCAAAATGTTATCGATTTTATATTTTGCGGGAACAGCAGATGAAATTGTGGGTTGAATTAAATCGAACTTCATTTAAAAAAAATAGTTGTATTTGTTTAATAAAAAATAATTAGTTTAGTAATGTTTGTTGATGATATTTAAGCTGGCAACAGTGGTTAGGTTTCTGACACAATTCGTAAATCTTAAATAGGTGACAACCCCAATCGACATAAACCATGTACTTAAGTCTTTCTGAAAAACTTTAGCTTACTAATGTTGCTCACCAAGCAAGTTACTAGATTTGCATGGTTTGCGGCGGTCTAAAAAGATCGTGACTGCAATATATCGCAGCTTGTTAAGTAAACAAAATCTGTAAGTTCTGCAGCTGAAATGTGGTTGTAGGTATGTGGGATCATTTCTAACGGTTTGCAGGTAATTATTTTTGACAGATGTTAGTTTTTAGTAGAACATTAATTTAAAACATGAGTACTTACGCATGGTTATGTATATTCACAGTTTCTCCACAAGCAAGTTTAAAATGTTATGGTAATGACTGAGAACAAGTCAAACATTTTTTTGGTTGAATTAGCTTTTATTGTTTATTTGTTTCTGTTTTACGTAAATTCTAGCAATGCATGCCTCGAGAAAATTTTTTTTTAATTGACGTAATTATAGTAGATATGCAAAAGCACAACAAAATTAATAGCGGAAAAATATTTATGAAAGCAATAAATTAATGCAGGAAAATGCACTCTTCTAAACAAAATTTTGTAAGGACATGATTATGTACTAAGTTTAAATTTCTAACCCGCAGTTGTCAGTTACGTCAGTTGTGTCCACTTTTTCTAAAATTCAATTTATCACGTTTATATCATACCATAAGAGAATTTAAGGAAACTTTAAAGGAGCCCATAGAGCAATTAATATTTTATTTACATTTTCGTCAGTCCACCAGTTATAAAATCCTCCTTTAATATGCTTATATGGTTATACAAAACACTATTTTTTACATAATTATAACTTCGATCTGTACCAATAAAAACACTAATGCAAATTTCCTAGAGAAACGAATTTATTTTTAGGCACTTAGTGTTTTAATATTGAGGGAAGACGAGAAAATAGAATTTAGTTCAATACATCACTTGTCCGCTAGATAAGGTACGTTGGAGTTAAATCCAAAATTGTGCTGACATCGAGTTTGATTACTGATTACATCCAGTTAAAAACGTTAAATTATAAACCCGAAAATCTAAAAACGTCAATTTTAATTAAGGAAACGAAAAAAATGGAATGTGTTTTGACGTAAGTCTAAGATTAATGTGTTATGGTGACGTCGTCTCCGAAAAAACTTATAATTTTGTTGTGACGTGGTGTTGATGACGTGAATACTCGTTTGTGTACATACCTTTGCAGTATATTTACGTTCAAGTTTAAAAGCATTTCAAAACATCAAAGCTTTCCAGCTGTTGTTACGAGCTACTAAACGATTGTTATAAGGCCGTCTGTTCGAAAGTGTATTATTCCAAAGCCCAAAATATAGTAAATTTTACGACAACAAAGGCAACTTGTTGCCAGATAAGATACCTGACACAATTTTAGGAAGTTATTACTCAATAAAAAAAATCTTACCATTTTAGATCGAAAATAATCAGTTTGCACGATATTTTTCTTAAAAGTCGTTGGCACTGTTGTTGCGGTTCTTTGTTTAAATAAATGTATCAGTTCTTTATATATTTACGATATAATATAGATAAGAATAGAAATAGTTAAGAACAATTTATGTGAAAAAATAATTACTTGGGCAACAGTGCCCGGATTGGTGCTTTAGGGTAAAGATTTTTTTTTAATGAGGCGTAACCGAGTTCAAACACCATTCGAGAATGTCAAGGACGTTTCACGGACGACTTAGACACACCATTTTTTCTACAACTTCTGTTCAACAAAAAATAATTTGCTACAATTAATTTGTATCAACCATGGAGGTATCGACTAACTAATGAGTTAATGACGTTTGTGTTTCTTAACAGCGCCTTGACGTTTTTCCATTTTTAAACACAGAAAAAATCGTTACTTTTTAACAAATTATTCCTTTACAACTTTTGATCTAAAACCATGAGAAAAAATATTATTAGTGTAAATACTATGAAACATATAGATCCATAAACGAAAGTAGGTACTTATTTATATTGTTTAAATTTTGCTGTACACAATGTTAAAAAAGTCATCTTTCGAATTGTGTGTGTCATTATTTCATTATTTTGTCACTAGCGTATATAATGAGTACATCATTCGAAAACATATATATGACTTGTTTATATGAACGACCTACAGTTTCTGCACAACAACATTCCACTAATAATGAGATATTTTTTAACAATCAATTGACTTGTACTGATTTAACTTACAAGTCGTCTGTCAAGTAAAATTTTAATCATTATAGCTAATGTTAATTTTGAAGAAATAATACCAGTCCACCACTCCACAAAGTACTAAAAAATGGTCAATGTCTGATATATCTATGACAGTAATTAGATAAAACAAATACTATATATTATAAGATTAATAATCGTAAGAATACTAATATCTAATATTTTTCCGATTTATGTCTAGCTATATAAAGATTTCTCATCATGTTGAAATAAGTAGATATCATTCTCAGTTACAGTTACTTAATAATATATTGGATATCGAAAATCGATCAAAGCAAATACCAACATCTAAATTAATTATTATTGAATCAAACATTAAAACGTGGTGATATCTAATGTGGTTCGGCAAACTCCGATTAATTTTAGCGACTTTTATGAACTAATAAAATGTTTGCTCTAAAAGTGTGTCGTTTGATGATTATGCTGATTGATTTTTAAAAGAAAACAATTTAAGACTTTTAACATCCGACACAATAACCGCTTTTTACTTTCCGAGCATAAGCTAAGAAATTAAATATTGTAACAAAGTCCATACGACAAATGGTTACTTTCATGTTTTTTCATGACCCCTAGAGTGCGAAAAAGTAGACCTGGCGTTTCCGTCTGTCTGTCTACGTAGTAAGTTATATTTATTAAGATAAACACAATACGCAGCTTTTAAAAATGCGATGCCATTTTCTCAGAGATAAGGTTTTAAAACAGCAAATTTTGATTTCCTTTTTTTTTAATGTCAGTATTTTGTATGACTTCATTTGAAAGGAATTGCTGTTATAAAAATAATTTATTTACATCAATTAATTTAAATAATAGTTATTAAACTATAATTTGTTATTGTAATATTTAGCGCATTGTCCATCATTTAGTTTTAACTTTACTATATTTAAATTTTTTAAATCTAAATCAAGTTCACATTTTGATTTTTTGTCCGTTTTTTCTTTCTTCTACATGAAATCTTATCACTTGCTTAAATTTTCGAAAAAAACAATGCAAAGTTTAACAAGCCGTTTTTCGCGGACGAAATAATTTCTTCTGTTTTAAATGAGCATTCTTATTCACTACTATAATACACAGATCTCAGTCATTTGGTCAAAGTGCTAGAAATTTGGCCCGCAACAATTATACGAGTATAAAAACTGCAAATCATAATATGTCTAAAATTTTGAAATACGTTTTTAAAACGAGGCTGAATAATTGTAGTCTTCAAAGTCTATTCTAAATATTTAACTTGTGTCGCTTTATTTGCACCTATAATTTGTAATATCTCATGGTATTGATATATGTTACATATTTACTCTTTGAAAGCTAATTTACCTTAACTGGGGCGAATGATATAATAACAAAGAAATTATCATAGCATTTTTTTTTTCATAATCCTGTACTATATCTTTTTACAACATTTCAGTTCAAAGTGGAACAAGTACCGAATTATAAAGAAGTCTCTCGAAGCTGTTTGAAAATGAACACGAAAATATATATTTGTCGCGACCAAATTAGTTCCGAAAAAAAATAAAGATATCATGAAAAAAGATTGGAAAAGAATCATTAGTGAGGAATAGCGATAAAAAAATACTCATGTCTGCTTATATTTTTCTCCTAAAATTTAGTTTCATTTATTACTCCACCTCAATATTATGCAATATTAAATGTGTAACATTTTTTGGTAGAAAATTATATGCATTTATTTTTATTTGCTTACTCGTGATGTTATCTGTACAACCAATATAATAATGATTATAATAATGATTATTATTATTTTCTCATATGCTAACATTTGCGTACCTATTGCCCCACCTTCTTCTAGGAATAGTAAAATAAGACACAAAACTTTAAAAACTACTTAGTTATTTTCAAATATATAATTTACTTTAATGTTTTATTTTTTTTGCTGAAGCAAATTGTTGATAATTTTACAGTTATTGTAATGTCCCACTATGTTTTACAACACTTACAGTGAAATATCTGCTGAAAATTATATACGGTGTTTTAAAATTAAAATATACAAATCTGATATATACATATTTAACTTATTTAAGTACTACATTTTATAAGAAAAAGATACAAGAAAAGTATTCACTTTAGATATAACAGCAATACAGAATACAATACATACCTCTTACTTTTAGATATTTTAAGCTTTTTAAAGCTATTGCTGTCATTGTATCTGGTAACTCTTCCGCATCAGAATAAATGATTTATACAGTGGTTAAATGTTAGATATTTCGTGCCCTTTCAAGGAAAGATAAACTACTACAAAGAGGGAAGATATGAGGTGCAAACTTTGGTGAAATGTTATTGCGGCAGAATTTATGACTCGACACCCTTTAATCTAACGTCAGGTGATTCTTGCGCAATCTTATTTGCCATAGAACTTAAAAAATCTGTTTCTTTTATAATATATTATAAAAACACACCCATTTACATTATTGTCAACACAAAATCCAAGTCCTTCTGTTGAATAAAAACTGTCAGCCAGTGATGGATGATCTTTCAACCCACACAGTACAAGTATGTAATGTTATTTCAAGCAGAAAGACTCACCATTAATTGGTCTAATCGAATCCTCGTCAATTTCTGCCATTCCGTTTAGTAATTGTTCTTTTTCAGGCAGATCTTTTTTGGTAAATCTGACCATCGTGCACTGTCACTGTCAACAAAGCTGTGTGCTAATATTAAATTGCAAGATTTTGCGATTGTCTATAGAGAAAAAGAATATCATCTTTCGGACGTGATAAATATATTGTTTTCCGGTTAAATCGCGATAACCGCGAAAAGCTCTTAACCGTTCTTTTCAGGACGACGGCAGATGCTGAAATGTCTACGCTTTACGGATCTTTTAGCGACGTTCCAGCCGCGTTGCTATAGATACATCCTACCATGCTTTCAGGGCCGGACTCTTGCCAAAGTTAATATTGATATTAATGTGGAGGCTTAACTTTACTCTTATTATCCTCAGCTGCCTCGGCTGCATAACACTGTTATGTCACAAATTATGTATAATGAGTGCTTCGGTAAGTTTTCACGAAAGTGGAAAAGTGGAATAACAAGGTAAGTAATGTCCTCTGGGAATTTGCATACATAAGTTTGCAAGTTCCAACATTATATTTTCAGCAAGCTTATATTAAACCTGGACAAAATGAAAAGACAGCCAAGAATATTCGTGTAACTTCATCACCATCATAATTTTTCCTCTTCTTGAAAGCAAAGGAATGGTTCAAAAGCTGTGTGACGAATTAGTTGAAATGTCATTCAATCTAAACATTAAATGTCCATATTAGGCTGAAAATATAAATTTTATTTGTGTATATTTACTACTAGTTTAAAAAAATTGCTTGTATAACAAGCTATAACGTTTATTACTCCACAACATCGAAAACATCGAAATTCTCGACGCTTTTCGCCAACCACGTCGGCATTATCTAGACAAAACTAAATTCTATTTGGCAAAACGCGTCGACATTTTTTTGTTTTCGGTGTTGGATAATAAACATACACCGACTGATGAAAGAAGATTCCTATACCTATAAGAAACGAAAAATTGGGCTATTTTGCTTTAAGTTCAAAAAGTTAAGTTAAACTACTGCACGTCCATTACGAATTAAAATTTAACCAATTTAATTAAGTAACAATCATTTTGTTATGGTTAAGCTTTCACGAATTCATCGGAAATGTTTTTTCACAGCATGGATCTATACAAGCCATAAATGTTTCATTACACCTTGAACGGGATATATAAACTAGTGTGAAAACTTTTCTGGAAAGTTTTGTAACATTTTATATACTAAAATCAGATTTTTCTGATCTCACACCTGTAGCATTTAAAAGACAATACACAAATCTCTGTCCTTTCTAGTTGCCGACTTTTTAGAGAGTAAGTATTTTTATCGTCCTTCCGTATGACAAATCTGTATATTTGTCATTGGGCTGCAATTTTTGTTTCGGCAGTTTCGACACTAGTGCACCAAGCATATGTTAGATGGTGAGAAAAAACTTTAGAATTGGATCGTGTGGAACTTCATTCCAATCTAAGTGTAACATCCACAACTCTTTAATTTGTAACTTAGCCACTAGAATGACAATCAACGTTAAAGAATAAAAAAACGAGCAACTAGTGAGAGTATAGTTTAGTACTGTTACGAAATAAACCCATACGCTGCCCCGGTACGACGCCTATGGGTTTTTTCTGGTTGTGCCTCATCATCATCGGTGACGGCGGCCGGACGGCCTGGAAGCGGAAGTCGCGATGGGTGCTCCAGAACAGCCCAGAAGCGGTGACGGAGACATTTCGAGAAGGACCGAGTGGCTGCTTAAATGGGAACCACCGTCGGGAGCAGTCAGTGAAGTCCAGACGATCCGAGGAGTCTAGTCAAATCCATTCCAGTCGGAATTATTCTATATATAATCGTTGTGTAATTAGTCGTGTAGTTTCGTATTACTGCAAAATAAATTGTTGAGTTTTACCCACGCCGATTTTAATTAGCGATCAACGTAATAGTACAGTTACAATCGTCAGATTGAACATGAAACGACAAGTTGCCTTCTACAAGATTTTAGTATTATCTATTGATTCCACACTACAAACCAAATTGTCTACATACTTATTTCGGGAAAGTATTTCAACGGTATGTCGTAACCTCATCTTCAGCTAGTTGATGAAAAGTGCGTATGGCCAAAAAAGGGGAACACGTGACTCTAAAAATTAACGTGGTCAATTCGTAAATAGTGAGAGAATCTCCCAAGAAAATCTCCAAGTATTCCTTGAAAACGTTGATGGTCTTCGCAAATAACTCAATAACTAAAATATTTGGCGATACATTTGGTGAATGTCAGTTATAAACGCCACGGGCCATAATCAAAAATTAAAAAGCAATCCTACAACATCAAAATTGTCACCCTATACACCCTATACAGTGGTGTCGAAAACTATTCTCAACGGTGTGCTAGTACTATTTAATTTATAAACGGCATGATGTGGCATAACATAATTTTGCACAGAGACCCTTTGTAGATGACTTTGTTTTAAATAATCTTGAATTACTCCAGTATATTCTTTTTGGAGATCGGAACAATTATGTATTAAATTTTTTCTCTAAACAGAAATCTTCGTCAAGCTATGGGATAAGAATTTCTTAATTTTGAAGGACAATCAAAAATCTCGTCGACAGCAAGTGGCTGACACCGATCAAAGAAAATGAAGATTTGTGTCCAGTGAGGTTGTATGAAAAAATGATGTTCAAGCGCACCCCGAACATCAAGACGAACCGGTTATTTTTAACACCAAATAATAATTGGAAGACAACAAATGTTTGGTGCAAGAACTGCCCTGTTGGCGTAAATCAGATAAGTAAATGGACACGTTTAGGTGCAGAGCATATTGGAATAGACACAAAAAAGGCAAGAATCACCAACCATTCTAACCGTTCATCCGCAGTGAGTGTATTAGCAAATGCTGGTGCAAATTGGCAGGAGATTATCAAAGTAACTGGTTATTCTACACCAAACTCGTTGAAACCATACTTAAAACTCAACGAACAGCATTATACCAAAATCATCAATCAAATTCGGAACAATCAAAATGTTTCGTCGTCATCAGTGCCATCAACGTCCTCCCTTCAACAGCAGGAACCTCTTAATACAAATAATATTTATTATAATAACTGTATTTTTCATTTTCATAATAATTAAAGTTAATTTAGTGTAAATGTAATTAGTATACTGTCAATTCATTATATAATCGTAACGAATATCACTCGAGCATTAGAAAATAATCTCAATACTAACCTCTTAACTCGACAATAATCAGAAACACCACTCGACCTTCGGTCTCGTAGTTTTTCAGATTATAAGTCTCGTTAATCGGTTAGTATTTTCGATTATTTTCTATGCTCTTGTGATATTATAACTGATTATTCGGGGTAGTAATAATTTGACTAGGTATATAGTATTCTTGTCTAGCACATAGGTTAAATTCATTTTTCCAATTCGCGGGCCAGGTAAAATTATAATTTCTACACTTTTTAAAGTAACTGATAATACTTAACAGTTCTACTAGTCACTTTATTTAAAGGCGGTTAGCCCAGCTTTAACTAATGATTATTTACTACTGTTCATGTATAAGTATTGCATTATCAATTCATCAGTGGTCTTTAATTTGTCAGTGAATGAGAGAGTTACGTACGTTAGTGAGTTGTAGAAGGTATCGGTAATGACCGATAGGAGTCGGTAGTGACCGAGGGGTTCCATTACGTATTTTCGAAATATGCTGTACTGATGAGACCTAAGGAGGTCGAAACTGCAGTATACAGATGTTCATTGTATTGTCTAATCTATATAGTGGTATAATAATGGGTTGCCATAAAGCTAAGGGGTGACGGCCAGTGAAGACAGATGTACTCCTGCGTTCGGCGGGGCTCTTGTCTGGTAACTAGCTGTTTCCACTCGCAGTGTTGGCGACAAAAATACAAAATAGAACCCATCGGTCACTACCAACCCCTATCGATCATTACCAATACCTTCTACAACTCACTAACCTATGTTTGCCTGCCCCCTTGTGAAAATGAAATGGTGGAGGCGCCGGGTAAACATTTTTTTAATTTTTTTTCACTTTGAAACAAATCTTGGTTTTAGAATAATCTAAACTTTAATTAAATCTGTAAATGATACAATTAGAAAGTTTAAATGTGTTTTTGAGAAAATGTAACTTCTTGTTGGAACTTTGGATAAAATATTGTATTGAATAAAAACATGATTTTGTATGAAATTTAAGTAGCCAATAAGAAGTATCAACCGACAACAATCAAAAGAATTAACACCAAAACATGTAACATCTACACAGTTTCAGATTTTGAATGTATCAGATAAGTTTGCGTTCTCAGAAATGTCATTTAACGAACTACGAGATATTATTAGTAACTTAAATAATTCCCATGTTCCAGAGGTCTACGGTTTCAACTCTAAAATAGTCAAAAAAATCAAGCATCTTATACATAGTGTATCTGTTAACGACATAGTTACTCATAACTAAGAGATATAAAAAAATATGACAAAAATGTGGAACACTGCAAAATCTATTCACAGATTTGTATATAAATAAAGTAATTTTGGAGTTGTAGCAAGAACATTATTTGAAATTCTTATGCACATTCGTGAGATATGGGTGTTAGAATTAAACTTGGCAAAAATACACAAATCTTATCAAAACTTACTCCTGTCAGACGGTATGGTTTTCTTACATTAAAAGTGATTAATCTGGCCAACGAATTTATGTCGACACCATTCTAAATGTCAATTATTTTAAGCAAATATAATAATATTAATATCCCAAATAAAAAATACTCTGATTGTTTATCACCAAAAAAAGATTGTTGCACATGCACACAATTTTACAATTCTTAACGAAAAATAGTCAAATAATGTTATGTTTTCCAGTTTATAACGCTCTGATTTGTTCATGGTTATTTAAAGTAAATGCGGGTGGAACGAAATATATGTATAACTTTAACCTCCCAATAAACGAGCTGGTCTCATAAATATCCCCAAGCGTCTATTAAAAACACTGTTTAGTAGTCTTGCTAGATGCTTAACCTAAAATACTTATGTTATAGTGTCTTACAGTTTTTTTAATTTTTCCTCTGGTGGCAAGTAATTGTTAATGTTGTTCTATACAGTTTTCTGTCTAATACTTAACTACATAAGTACACATCTTCCTCTCTATTTTCGAAGTCAGCAAGTACGATAAAACTGATTTATTGACC